TTACCAATCATACATTTTTTGGCCACTGAACTGTGGTCAATTGGCATGAAATGGCTAATCATGTTTTTTTTCAAAGGATTTATCTTTATTTATTAAATAACAAAGATAGTAAAAAATTATGTAAAAGTTAGAATACAAATAATACAGTTTACAGTTTCCACTCTTCCTTCACAAGTACAGGACCATCCCATATTTGTCTATGAATCACAGTATCAGGAATGCAAATTGTACCACATAAGTCAATAACAAAATAACATGGGAGGGAGTACAATTGTTAAATGAAATGTTGGGGGAAGAGAGGAAAGAAGGTGAGTAAAAGAAAGCAAAGAACGTGAAGATATTGCATCATAGAGAAGGGGAGGTTAGGGTATGGCAGGGGTTCTCAGTCCTGGGAGCATGATCCTAGTCAAAAATAGCCAAGACCCATCACTTTGATCACTCATGTTTTTCTATGTGCCAGCCCCACCCTATAAAAAGTCAAAGTTCCCAGCAACCTTTGTTCAGTGTGTTGGAGATTACATAAAGTAGTTAGGAAAAGTGTACAGAAGGCATAGAACGTTAGATTGCGTAAAAGACAGAACTATTCCACTCTGAGGCGCGCAACCACCCAGAGGGAAGGGGGCTTTTAAAAAACATTCCAAACCTCGCGGTATAAAAAATTAGACATTTATTGGTACATAATCATTGACATGATTAAAATTGATTAAAGCGTATTGATATACAATCCCCACATGATAGCGATGCCGCACAGAACAATTAATTTCAATATATAATATTACATATGAAAGTCCCAACATGAACACGTTTCACCGTCGGGGCTTCTTCAGGGGAACAGAAGATGTACCGTATTTTTCGCTCCATAAGACGCACTTTTTTCCCCCCAAAAGGAGGGGGAAAAAGTGCCTGCGTCTTATGGAGCGAATCCTGACGCCCGAGACATGCAGTTTCGGGCGCCGGGCGAGTAGTAGGAGCCACTGCTCGTTTAATACGAGTGATCTAATGAGATCACTCGTATTCAAACCGAGCAGCGGCGACGATCGAGATAACCATAGAGCAGACGAAGAATAGACGTTCTTCGCCTGCTCTGTGTCATCACTGAGACCATGGCGCTGTAATCACAGCGCCACCTGTCTCAACGGTCACTAACTGCAGCTTCTGTCACAGCTTCTGTCATAGTAGCCTGGATGGCAAGGCAATTGGGAAGTGTGCACCCACCTTAGCAGCTAAAACAATTCATCCCCACACAGCTACCTCCTCATGTATCACTTCCCCCTCCCATTTAGATTGTAAGCCCTCAGGGGCAGGGCCCTCCTTACCATCTTGTCTTGATTTGTATTGTGATTGTAATGTCTTCCTTATATTGTAAAGTGCTGCACAAATTGTTGGCGCTACCTAAATCCTGTATAATAATAATAATAATAGACACAAGGATGATTCCAAAGCATCACCAATGTTTAAATTTAAGTGGTTCAGTGCTGATAGGAAAAGTGTATGCTTGAAATTGTAGATGTCATATTACAGATTTAGCACAATTAAAATGCATTTTCCGAATTGACTGCACTTAGTGTCTAAGTCAAAGTGATTTAACATGAAAGAGCCAAGAAACATACATAAACCAAAATTATAATGCAGTACTTGGCATCTCCGCTTTCAGTCAGGAAGAAGATTGCATTGTTTTGGGAATGTTATATATATATATATATATATATAAAATCTATCAATGTACTGTATGTACTGTATGTGGGTGTGTGTTACTATACTATATATACGGTAGAAGAGGCACTCATATGTCTTGAGCAGGAGTGTATGTCCAAACAGGAGGAGTTTGTTCTGTCTATTTTTTTTGTTGGATCACAGTCCATCATTGTCTTAACAAAGATGGAGTGCAATCCAACAAAACATTGGACAGATAATTTGGATGAGATGGTTTGAGGCTTTTGGATATGATGTAAGGTTTATGGCTCATGAAATGGCTGATTCTTTCCCAAAGTGGAAGTAGCCCTTTCAGTAACTTACCAAGGCTGTAAATTCCTGACATGTCACAATGTAACAGTGTTAAAGAGCATTTGTATGACGTATTGATTTTTAGCAACAGTCAGCATACAATATGAATATAAGCCACTTTGATTTCCTCCCATTAGATTAATGTCAAGGGGCATGCATTTAAAACAGCTATGGCAATATGGCATAGATGTACTGTACCTATGACACTAATCTAGTCAAAATGTCCAGGTGGCTTTTATTCATATTTCATATTGGTAAGCTGCCAGCTATGACATTTTTAACCTGCTATTAGTCCATATGACAATGTGGACAAACTAAAAATGTGTTCTGTGTCTTTTAAACAGATGAATGGTGAACTAAACATCCTTTTCTTGTATTAAGTTCTTTGCTTAAGTGTTTTTTTCTTTCATTTCTGCAAGGTATAGTGGGAATTAATTGCAATATCAAGCTGTTTTGTGCTGATATGTATATAGTGATAGACATAAGCACTGTCACTGTGAAGATGCAGATACTGGCAAAGATACAGCATAGTTCAGCATGCAATGGGTCTCTGAAGAGGTGTGAGGCTAATTGTCAGGTGGGTGTTTCCCCACAAAAATGAATAAGGCTAAAAAGCCAGTGCTCCTTCCTCAAGAAACAGATTTGCTACAGGATCAGCATGAGTGTACAGACGAGGAAAGCATGTGCCCTGGCCTTCCTTCCTTCTCTTCCTGCCTGGCCGATGCTTCAGGGAAATGTTTCAGTTTGCTCTGAAAAAGACTGAGGACTTACGCAGCACAAATAGTCAGCAGGCTAACATTGTACTTTGTATCTGTGTGATGTTAGAAACTCCTGTGATGGAAAAGGTGTTTTTGTTAATAAATAAAGTGGGAAGGAGCATATTTTCCTGTGTGGACTGAGTTTCTAAACATCTCTTAATTTGGAGCTAAAGCGGACTATTGGTGGAGGTATGCAAATGGCAAAAATAGAGCACCTTCTACTTGGAGTCTGCTGATCCCCCACTTAGAAGTAAGTACCTGTTATTGAACTACATATGCATTGTGTCCCAAGTACCTTTAAAAGATGCATGATATTGTCTGTGGTAGGTGGTCTGTGTATCTGTGAGAGTTAACGGGCTAGCAGCCTTTTAAAATGACAGTGCACCACTTTACTGGATCTGGTATTGTAATTGTAATGTCTTCCTTATATTGTAAAGCGCTGCACAAACTGTTGGCGCTATATAAATACTATTTAATAATAATAATTGGGCAAAGTCATGATGACTCTGCCCAATAATGGTCGCCTATCAGATGCCGATAAACTACACAATTGGGTGGTCAAGGGTCTGGTATGGAATTTTAGGGGGACCCCATGTTTCCCCCCCATTTTTTGGGGTGGGTTCCTCCTTAAAATTCCTACCAGACCTTAAAGGCCTGGAATGACTTTGAGGGGAAGGGTCCCTCCTAAATATTCCTACCAGACCTTAAAGGCCTGGTATGACTTTTAATTGGAACCCTACACAGTTTTGTTTTGTTTTTTAATTGGTCCCTCCTAACATTCCTACCAGACCGAAAGGGTCTGCTATTGTTTGGGAGAGGGAACTGCACACTTTAAGAGTTAAAAAAAAAATCATTTTTTTTTAGAAATGTCAGTTTTGCTGCAGCAGGTTCTATACATCCTACAGATCTGCCACTTCACAGGCAGGTTAAGGGGACCCCCCAGGCACGATCTTTGAAGGAATTTTTCATTATTATTTTTGCCCTTTTAAGTTGTTTAATGTTAAAATCACTGCTGCTTTAAAAACTGTATAATTTTTTTCGTATTTTTGTCATTGATTCCTGTCCCCCAGAGCAGTACCCGGACCCCCATACACCTTTTATGGCCAATCACTTGCATATAAGCCCTCTTAAAGGGGACAATCCTTTTCGAACGTTCGACCCCCACTGACTTGCATTATTTTAGAGTTCGTATTTGAACTTTTCGGCCGTTCGGAAGTTCGAATACGAACCGAACGCGGGGGTGTTGGGCCCATCACCATTGGTGAGTGCATCCGCAGTCATTTCTTCTTATGAGCAATGTTGCATGTCGATAATGGCTTGCTCTTGAGTGTCCCTTAGCAGATGATACTTCACTTCAATGTGCTTGGTTCCAGGGTTGACCCTCTCTGATTGTGTCAGCTTAATACATCCCTGTTATCTTCAAAGATAGGGATGGGGTTTGACATGTCTATACCCATGTCCATTAAAAGCTGGCAAATCCATATTGCTTCTTGACAAATGTGTGCTGCTGCTATGTATTTAGCTTCAGTTGAGGAAAGTGCAACCGTTTGCTTTCAGCTAGACCGACTTATAGTTCCTTCTCTGTATTGGAAGATGTAACCGCTTGTGGATTTGCGGTCTGTGCATTCTCAGCCCAATCAGCATCCGCATATTCAACTAGGTTTTTATTTGACACTGCTGGCAGTCGTAACTTCATCTGACCTGTTCCTTTTAAGTATTATATTACCCTCTTTACTGCATTCCAGTCATGCTGACAGGGTGCTGTAACTTTCCTAGCATGTATGCCCACTGCTGCCACTAAGTCTGGGCTTGTCACAGTGGCAATGTATATTAGCTTTCCGATTGCTCTATGGTACATGGCATTGTTGAGTAGCACGTTTTCTGTTTCATTGCTATTTTGGGAGACTGGTTCAATAGGTGTTTTTACTTCCTTTGCATCTTGCATGTTGAATTGTTCCAAAATTTCTGCAATTTTCTTACTTTGGTGAGGAAGATAGCTACCATCTTCTCTCTCTATTTGAATACCCAGATAGTGACTGATGTTTCCTAGCTCTTTAATTTCAAAGTTTTGTTTTAGTCTGTGAACTATGACACTATAGTCCCCTTCTTGTTCAAAACAGGTTATGATGTCATCAACATAAATTAGGATGTATGTCCATCTGTTTTCTTGATTCCTGGAATAAAGAAAGGGATCTGCTTTTCTTCTTGTGAATCCCTCTTTTTGAGTATTCCATTCACTTTCTCAGTCCACATTCTTGCAGATGGCTTGAGTCCATAGATGCTCTTGTATCATAAGGTTGTGTCCTTGCTCAAACCCTACAACAGCAAAAAGTTTCCCAGCACACTCGCCAGCCTGCAAAAAAACCTGTCTAATCACTAAGGTTAAAAACAGAGGTTTTAGATACACGACTTCTGCAGAATATGTGGAAGCTGCACTGCCTCGTCAAGGCCTCTCTGTGTGCCCTTCTAGATGCAGTGACACACTGGGGGTCTCAGCTGCCGTTGTGATGTGCGGAGTCCCTGGTGTGTCACTGGAGGTTGGGCTGCTTCCTGGCGAACCTACACCCAATTTATCTTGTGCTACATATGCTCCAAGATGGAGACCCTCATAGGTTAGAGTTAGGACCGCACTACACAGAGGGGCCTTCACAGAGGGGCCTGCAGCTTCCACATATTCTGCAGAAGACATGTATCTAAAACCTATGTTTTTAACCTTAGCGGTGAGACAAGTTTTTTTGCAGGCTGGCTGGTGAGTGTGGTGGGAAACTTTTTGCTGTTGTACTGTTTAAAGCCCTTCCATGTGCACCTTGCTTTAAAGCTGGTTATGAGTTGATGAGTGCGTTTGCCATTTGTTTTGCTTGTCTTGCTCAAACCCTGGTGGTTGCTCCATGTAGAGATCTTCCTTAATGTCTTCATTAAGGAAAGCACCTTTAACATCTTGGTGTGTCACTTGCATGTGCTTCGCAGCTGCCATGCTAAGGAGTGTTCTTATGGTGGAGTGTTTTATGACAGGAGCATATATTTCATCGTAGTCTTCTCCACATTTCTGGGAGTATTCTTGACAATTAATCTGGCCTTGTATTTGTGGATATTTCCTTTTGCATTTAGCTTTACCATAAAAGTCCATTTTGGAGGGAAAGTGGCCTGGTATGGTCAGGCAGCTGCTCAGATCAAGGGTCTGGAAAATTATTTTAGGGGATCCACACTTATTTTTTAGCATGGGGTCCCCCCTTAAAATTCCTAGTAGACACTTTGGGTCTGGTAGGAATTTGGAGGGACCCCATGCTGTATTATTTTTCAACTTTCATGTTTAACATAATAAACTCTATCCAAATACATCTGAATTCTGAAAACGAAAAGTTTGGATCAATCCGAATTCCAAATGACAAATATCGAACGCATCTGAATCTCAGAAAATGAGAAAAAAAATCAGAATCAAAAGGAATCTAAAACATTTTCAGCCATGCACATCTACTGACAAGAACACTTAATTTTAAAAAGGCCAACTTTTATAAGTTAAGATACCTACTATATGACACTAAATGGGACCAAATCTTCCTGAAAATTAACACGGAGGACAAATGTGAATGTTTAAAGAATTTTTTTTAAATAACAACATTAACCAGTGCATTCCATTTACCAATATATTCAAAGCAACAAAAGTTAAACCAGGGTGGCTAACTAGCAAAGTAAAGTGACATATAAATATGAGAAGGAAAAGGCCTTCACAAAGTATAACCCAAAGGGTTCAGCATTCTAACACTACAAGGATTGCAACAAAAATGCAAAAGAGCAATGAGGGCAGCAAAAACAGTGGCAGCGGAGCCCAGGAAGCAAGTCGGGGATTTTGGGCAGGGGGATGGACTTCACAAGCCTGTGGAAGCGATCTGGCGGCAGCTCAGCCAGCAGAATCACTTCCAGTGTAAGGCTTCACACATGTAAACAGAGTTCCGGTGGTTATCTATTTAAAGGGGCCTACTGCCAGCAATCTATGACATCGTCGGCAGCAAAAATGTTAATTAACTTCTGCCTAAATTGGACATAAAACATTTTATTTGAGTCTTTTTATTCTTTTGTGTTTGCCTCCTGTTGTAGCAGCAGTACAGTACTATTATAAGTTATGTATTTGTCAACTTTTAATGAAAAAAGGGAGGAATTCATGAAGCGTACACTAGAAATTAAAGGGAATATATTGTGCTTTTGTAAATTACTTTCCTTTTTTATTTTGGGCATGACTTAAAAAGTAACTTATATATTAGCCAAACTATTCCCATATGTTGAATAGGCTGAATACGGAAGAGCGTGTCAGTGCAGTGTTAGCAAGCACAGAAGTGCACAATATCAGTGGATTGGGGGTGTGCAGGTGACAAGTGAGAGCAGTAGGGGGTTATGAGGATCAGGTGTTGTGGTGAAGTTGGATTCAGTCACAGGGTTGACAAGGGGATTTTAAGAGGAGAGCAGTGCAGACTTAATGGTGGGGGGGATGCAGGTGCAGTGGTGGGAAGGGAAAGATGTAGGTGTGGTGGTAAGTACAGGAATTGCAGGTGGGGTGCTGCAGTGATGACATGGGGTAGGGGTGCAGGTGCAATGGTGGGACAAGTGCAGAGTTGGGAGGGTTCAGGTGTGGTGGTCAGAGAGGGGATGCAGGTGCCGTGGTGGTTGGCATGGTTATGTAAAGATGTGGTAGGTGTAGATCAGACATGGGGTTCAGGTGCAGTCAGGGCCGCCATCATGGGGGTACAGCCGATACTCATGTAAGGGGCCCGGGCAGCCTACGGGGCCCGCCCGGGACCCATACATGAGTATCGGCCAAAGGTGAAGGGCGAGGAGGTGGCCGGGCCACCGCAGCATCAGCGGTGGAGGCCTGGCCCTAGCAGCGCAGGGCCCCGGCATTGCCGCTCCAGCGGCTTCGAGAC